ACTTAGCCACACTGTCAGACCTGTATCTTTCGAGTGAAATCGGAATTGCTGTGTGATCGATAAGCGTACTCGCTGCTAAATTAAGGTAAATGTACCAATAAACGATCAGAAGAAATAATGTTCCAATACCCAAAAATAGTCAATGACCCAAAAATTTACTATTATCAATTATATGCATAAGGCACTAATAATATTTTGACTAATTTATACTATTTAATCATACAAATTATGCATTAAAAATTATATCGACAAATACTTTGGTCATGTGTTGGTATAAACGTATGTATCTATTGAAATTCCATTGTTATACATGTAATAAATGCAAAAATAATGTATTAGAAAATTATTTTAATAAAAAATAATGCAATCCACTTGCTATGTGCTAAAATCTAAAAATAATATAAATTTTACAGATAATATTTATAATATACTGCCTTGGTGTCTGAAGCTGGCCAGTTATTAGTTTACAATGCTTTCTTCTATAGTCACTAAACGCGATAGAAATGAATTAAATGTGATATAATCAATTATGTTATAAAAATTCATTTTACAGTCCAACTTCATTTTTCTTGTATGCTCGTCGAATCGGTCTGCAAAATGTCGCGTTTAATATCGTGATTCCGCTGTCTGCGAGTTATCGATTGAGAATTTAAAGTTGCTGTATTTTATAGAAGATACGAGGTGGAACAGCGAATTGTATGAATTTTATTTTACTTTTACTTATTTTCTTCGAATAGAAATGCTTTGGTATATTTTTTTTTAAATTTGCTAATTGCACGCATTTGCGCTCTTTCCGCGTTAAGGGAGTGGCACGAATTTCCTGTCGTTCCTCATCGGCACAGCCTCGAGAGTTTGACGAACAAACGTGCCAAATAATCTGAAAGCTTACTCATGCGCTGAGCAATCGTTTCCGTTTCTACATACATACGTGCGCGCTTACCAATGCCCATAAATGGAATTGGATCGCTTTTAATCTTTACCAAATCGACACAAGGCGCGTTCTCTCACGTTACAGATAAAATATAACTGAACATCGAAATGCATAATAGAAACAACGACAGTTGCCTTTGCACGTGAACGAAAAAGTAAAATTGTATTTACACGTTGTCACGGTAAAAGAAAATATTACCTCGTAACAATTACTTAGAACCTGACGCAAAAAATGAAACGAGGAAAAATTTTGTATCATATGAAAATGAAACAAAAACATTCGAACAAACTCGTTATTCCGTTTATCGTCGATAAAAAGATAACGTTGTATCGTACTGTCTCAAAGTCTTCAATTATTATAAAGCAAATCATATTCACGTGTTAAATAATTAATATCAGAATGCATGATTTAATCGTTCCTGTGTTGAATACACGATTTACAAATAACAATTTAGGAACAATTTTGCCCGCGAAGCTTTTTAGAACGCATTACATTAACAGGCTCCTGAAGAGAAATTGTTCGTGCACCCAAAGTCAATGACTTCGTGGCTTCGTTTAATTGACCCGACGACGGGATCTTTTCACGGCTTTAGGAATCAAGGCCAACGCCAGTTCGATGTACGTATAGTATACGTGTCGTGCACGTATACGTGTTAGACGTCTTTTCGCAGACACATCGGATAACCGTAAGAGAGAATAAGAACATCTTAAATGTTTCGACCTTCTTCGTTTAATATTACAATTATAAAACGTGAAACGGATCGACTAAAATTTTATTTCAGTTGCCTGAAATTTTATAGGAACAACTGCGTGATATTATCGCGGTGATTGCGAGAGAAACTAGTCGCGGCTAAATATCAATTTAAAGCGCAGATCAATCATTTCTTGGTAGAAAGTATGTATGTATATTCTGACCTACTGACGACTAACGAATCTCGGAAATTGCTCGGTTACCGTAATTCCATGGAATGACATACAAAGTCATGTTCCCAGCAACGATTGTACGCTAATTTTTGCGAACAAGTTAATTAATTTGCTTCTTTACTGCCCGTGATTATTTATTTACTAAGATTGCTACGTATTGTGTAGACGTGGCTAAATTAATGCGACTAAAAATGTAAAATCATACGCTTGTTGATCTATGTACAGTGGCTCACAGTGAATATCGTCCACCGTGGTTAAGTATACAGGGTGTAGAGGCCAAAATAAGACGAAAATCAGGAATATCAATTTCTCGATTGAGATTTCGTTAAAAAGTTATTAAAAAAATTAAATTAAAAAATTTCAAATCATTTTGAAAAAATTATTTTCAGCTACGGGGGTCAGTTACCATCATTTTTGGTGAATAGGCGTACCCTCGAAATCTTAACCATTTTCGAGAAAAAAATTCAGTAGGTGGACAAATTTTTGGACGAAATTAAAAAATGTCAAGTCGTTCTGGAAAAATTATTTTCAGTTGCAGGGGCCAATTACAATCATTTTTTATCAATAGACATACCCTCGAAATCCTACGCATTTTAGTGAAAAAAATTCAATACGAGCAGAACTTTAAACGTTAATAACTTTTTAACGAAGCGTTCATCAACAAATTGGTATATTTGATTTTCGTCTTATTTTGGTCTCTAGAATCCCCCATTAAAATTTTTTTCCAGTGGTGGCCAAACACCCTGTATATCCGCTAATATTTGGGTTCCTTTTTATATGGAAACAAGCAACAATAAAGATGAAACGTTATTACGTTATATTTTGGCAAAAAATTGAGCCACTGTATGATGCACGATACGATGTTCTTTCCTGTAAAGTTCCCGAGTGTCCGCGAGGATAAGTTTCCCCTTCCTGTGGTAAGACACTCGTTATCCTGCGGATGTTGGTATCCTCCGTGATAAACGTTTCCCAGACGCCGAATGTTTCCGATTTCCTAAAAACGCTAGATTCTTTCGTGGCTCGTTCTCTCTGCGTACCGGGGAGATCTTCTAAAATTAATTAAGCTCGTCGACACACGTATCACGGTGTAATTGGAGCGACTCGGTCGGAGCAACAACTGCATAACGAGGGTGCGTTCACGCCTACGCACTAAGCGGAACATGTACAAAAACACCAAATATGGATGTTTTGTGCAACGTTGAAAATCTTTTGTATAAATGGTCTCGATATATTTATAACATATTACGCACGCGTTTAGTCTTCTTTAATCTTTCGCTCATATTTCACGAACGTGTTTACACAGTACTCGGAACACGACTGTTCATTGCTGTACATTTAATCTTATTTACGCGTGTAATAAATAAGAGAACAACTGAAAAAATTCAATTCTGCATTTACGCGAGATATGACTTAATTTATTTTAGTATTTATAATGTTGCACATATATGTACAAATGGTTATGCCGCATTAATATCTGGTGTTACAATATAAAATAAATTAAACTGATCGTAATGTTCTTTATATTTTATTTAATAATGTATGGTTTGTGGCAACGCGGTGAAATGTGGTATACGTTTTAGTATCTTATTGTTTATACATAAAGAGAAATTAAGGTTTCTGAACTAGTTGCTGTGTTGAACAAACATATCTTATTTATACTGCTCCAAATGTAGGAACGAAATGAGCAAACATAAATTTAATACCAAAAAAATAAATACGTCAAAGAATCAAATTTGAATTGATCTTCATTAGTTATTTAACGATCACGTGGTATACGTGAGCAAAATGTGCCAGTCAGTGTTCTTAAATCGCTATAAATCCTTACATAACTCGTTCTGTATACATTTACGTTTTGTAGAAGACGACTTATCCCGTTTAAACAAATTTAGATTGTCGGTAATTCTTGATAAAAGACAATAAACCAATACCTCTATTACCACTATTATTACTATTCTTAATAACGCATATGATAGATAAGTTATATTTATACTTAAATTATAAATTGCGATGTTGGAATGCAGCATATGTAACAAATTATAAAGTTATACTTTCAAAAGTAGTAATTTCTAGAAAATGTTATTCGATTGCGTTAATATATTTAACAGTGGGTATAATTTAGAAGAGAAATATATAAACATACATATATCGTAACAGGTATACTAGCAGATTTCGAAATTAGCTGAGTCACGAAGAAAAATGGTTTATTTTTTAACTTAAATGTCTAACTAAAGAATTATAAAGTGGATTATTACAATTATGAATAAAAATCAAGCTGATATGCTTGTTAAATGTAGTACGAAATTTGCACGCTAAACAAAGAAAATGATTAAAACCTGTACAATTATACACAACGCAACGTTATTATACCAAAAGGATTGGTTATGGTAATTTAACAAGGATATTTTATAACCCTGTCTATGAGTACTTGCGTACATTGCTTCCGGTCGGTAATTGAATGATAGACGATTATACTATGAGTCACGAAATACTAGTAACAGAAATTAGACGTTGTAGGTACGTTCGTAAGTTACCGAGAAATTATTTACTATGAAATGTAAACTCGCCTATATGATAGATGAATCACGACTATCTACATGCTATTGAAAAATAAGATTGTACTCTGATTCATTTAGATGAAAAATGGTCTCTGATTCACTAGGAAATTGTTATATATTTTAATATTTGTAAATTAGATACGATGATTATGGTATTGCTATATTATTCTAGCCATGGATTAAGAAGTACAGAAGATTTTCCTTGATGATATATTTTATATAACACTTTAGTTGGGTATATATATGTATCATGTAATACTTGAACTATTTTAATGTTCATTCTCTTGTTATTTTCCTTATTAATATCGGTTACGATCACGAATAAATACAAACACAGGTGCATTTGGTTAAAAACGTGCTGCTGACGCTCTCTAACAGTTGAAGATGGAACTATTGTTGGGTGAGAATACCGGAGTATATATTGCCAATTCGCCTAATCGAACTTTGTTTTCTTGACAAACGCATATTTTGTAAACTCTATGGTGTGCAACATTAATACTCATAAAAAAAAGTTACCAATATCAAAATATGCAGTGGTTAAAAAATTATACATATTAAAATTTCTTATTGGAAGGTCAGGTTAATTCAAAGATGACTCGAGATATCAGGTTAGTTTTTGTTTATATGTGAAGTGACATAACTGATTTATTTAGTGTACAAGTGGTCGTATTTATCATTACTACATTTACGTTTGTTCGTAATATTTAGAAAAAGAGGGCGCAATGCAGAAGAGGAATCAAGTGAATTTATGCCATTAAGTAAAAGAATCAACAATCTTCATATTAATAGCTTATCAAGTATTCAAGAAAATGTGACAGAAAATATGGATACAGATTGGAGCAATAGAAATTTTTTACCATCACCAAATTATTCGGACCTGTCTCAAGGATCACCACTGTACGATGGATGTAGTTCTAGCCAAAGCAGCTATATAGCTGAATATAAACCTGGTCTTGATGCTACTGAAAATCCTTTTTATTATGAAAGTAATAAGTTACTATTCTCTTTATATATGGAACGTATACAAAGAACATCTGACTCGTTTTGATATCCCCGTCTTCAGATTATAATTACTAATTATACAGCATTTTTTCATTCCTTATCGATACATTGTTATTAATGTTAAACCCTGTTAAATCTTGAAATGTACAATATCCAGAAAATTTTGAGTAATAACAACAGTGCAATTATTTATTATTTCAATAATAATATGTAGTTTACAAGTGTATGGAAACATGAAAATTATGTATTCAAAATCTTACTTTGTACATGAGTTTGGTTAGAATGGCATGGAATTAAAATTTGTATAAGTGTCATTACATTTATAACTTTAATGATTATTGGTAATTTATATTACATTATTATAACAATATACAATTGTTATATTAAATCACTGTTTTTAAGCGTTTCGTCATTGTTTGATTATACTTTTATTATAAGCATGTACTACATTACAAAGTATTTCGTGATTGCATAAGTTTGGAATGATTGATATTTACAATAACAGAGGCTGCAAAATAAAGAAAATACATTAAATTTATTTTATCTATTTATGTTGCTTTGTGTTATATTACAATAATGTGACTTAACCAACGTAAGTACATTGTAAAAATAGAATGAAAAGTCAAAGAAATATGACCACATCATCGGTGCATATTAAACGTTTCATATAAAGCGCGTAATAGCACCAAAACATGGCGCCTATCGAGGTACTCTCGAAGTATCGATTCTCGACCTAACCTCACTTCAGTCTCCGCTAGGTGCGCACGGAGGTAGTGTCGCTCTGTAGTGGTAGAGGAAACTGAGTGACTGGAAATAGGATAGAGAAACGGACAGGTGTTTTTTGCGCTGTTATAAATTTTTTCCCGAAAGTTCGCGACTCTCGTAAAACTACAAAGGTTTCTGTTGTACCTGTAAATAGAACGATACCACAAGAATTGATTGTTTAATCGACAAGCGCGCACGCGCCGCTTTCCCCTCGCTCCACAATATACTCCGCGCGTAACCGCCGCCATAGTTGATATTTCTCCGATAGAATATTAATAGCGGCGTAAGTTTTCGCGGTTTAACATATTTTTATCTACTAATTGGAAAACAAGAATGCATTCGACGAAGGTTGTGAGACGAGGTCATTCAAGATAAAGCTGGGATCCGTAGGAAGGAGGGTGTCTACTTTCACAGCTCGTGGTTTTCAGGAGAGTGGCCTGGCATCGCGGCGCTTCGAGTTAACGTGTGACCACCGTCGGTGGCTATGTACCGTTAGCTCGAATTCATTCCCCGTTGGCCGGCCCAAGACCCACGCTTACCTACCGACCGGGGCCATACTCGATCGAACTCGACTGTCGTAAACCCGGAAATGAGTGCGCGTCGTGGATCGCCGTTACCGTAGAAAAGCTGCTAGTAGTGCGCGATTTTATCACGAGTCACGACTCGTCAATTGCTAGAGACACGTTCATTCGGACGTACGTCTTGTATGACGTGTGCGCCGTAAACAGTAGCCGCGGCTAGCTAGAAAAGCCGTGGCACGACGAACGTGTACGTAAAAATGAGAAAGTTGCTGTCGCCGCGGTGAAGATTGAGAACGACGCAGGCGAGCCAGCCAGGCGGACGGTCTCTGTACTACGCGAAGGTGTTTCGACGCAGCGACCAGTAGTAGCAGTACGTTGAAAGGAGTGCACAAGGGAGTCACAGCTGCTCGTGGGTAAGTAGGACACGCATTGCCTCGTGGATGATTGTCTTGTGCGTAGGGAACTCGCGTGAACCTATTATCCGGACGTGTAACTAGTCCAGCCTGAAGGAATCCGCGGACGGTACCGCCTCGCGATCTCTTACGCGTTTTACTCCTAATGCGAAACGTGCACACGAGAAACCGCGAAACAGTGGCCACAGAGCACCCACCCCAAGACACTAAAATCGTCGCGGGGCCCTCGTCGTGGCTCACGGCTTGGCTCGGGCTGGCTTTGGTGGGGTGGTTGGAGGTGCGGACAGTGGTTGAGAGGCTGGTGGGGTTGGAAATTGCGTGGTGGTGGGTGCTCGCCGAGGTCTCGGAGGCCCCTCCGTGGCATCTCGCTGCCTCTAACCCGTCGAGGTGGGGGTGTAAACAACAGCCCTGCCTGTGCTTCTGTTGGCTCTACTCTGTCCTCCGTTTCGCCTCTGCCCTGCTCTCGCCTCTGCCAACTCGCCCGATCTTTTTCCTACTTCCTCTCCACGTAACGTCTCCCGATGCGCGATCGAAAGAGCACTGAAGGAAGGGAGGGAGGGACACAGGGCGAAAGGGAGAGAGGGAATAATAGTCGAGAGAACAAAGCATCGGCTTCGCGGACTTGTGCTATTTTCTCGCGTCATCATACTCGATTCCCATCATGGCCGATGCATTACCGAACATGCTGATGTGGTAACCTTGTTCAACCGCCTCTACCTGTCTTGTATACTCGCCTTTAAGTTTTACACAAACTGCAACGTCATTGTCTTAAGTCTGCACCAATTTATGTATGGTTCCACTCAAAATATCGTTTACGATATTTCCACATTCAATTTTACCTTATCTCATTGCGCGTTATTTATTCTGGGTGCGTGTAAAAAATATATGTGATTGCACAATGCCCCAGAGCTATTCCGTTCTACGTGCACTGCCCCCCCTCCTCTTTTCTCTCTCTCTCTCTCTCTCGCTCTCGCTCTATCTCTCTCGATATCACAGCAAGCAGTGTACAGTTATGCGATACATCTGGATAGAATTTCTCTAGAAACCGTGAATGCTCAGCATGCTCTCTTCGATGCGTGTACGTCTGAGAGAGAGAATCATATAGAGAATATGTGTGACAAAGAGTGAGAGAGACGTGTTGAACCTTAAGAGAATCGGCGCCATTACGACATGCGCGTCTTGCAAAAGCGTCCAGCAACGGTACGTCGGCGAGGCTGACCGGTCAGTCGCACACGCCATTCCGCGAAAGCCGAAAAACGCAACCGCCGTGCGTTCGTTTATGCGTGTCGTGTTCCGGTAGTTTTTTTTCTATTAAGTCGTGCAACCACCCGCAACGAGTTGCTGGCGCGGAGTAATCGTCCATTCGACACGGCACCCTCCTCGGTGCGTCGAAAGGAGGAGAGGTGTACGGGTAACCTAACCTCTCTCTTTCATTCTCTCTCCCTCGTTTTCTCTTCCTTCCCTACCACGGGTAGATCAAGGGCGAGAGTCATCGGTGTGTCCCACTTCGTCTGCCACGATGTCTGCTTCGTATGTTCTCTCCCGATATTTCGCGTTCCCCTCCCCGGGGAGTTCCGAGTATGTCGAGGTTCGTCTCCCTTCTTTCTTGACATGCCCCTACCCTTTCAAGCTTACGGCACACGCTTACGCACCTACACACCGAGATATCGTTCCTTCCCGTCCTATTCTCGCGGTATTTCGTGTGTTAGTGCGAGAGAAAGAGAACGAGTCTCGGGGTCTATTTCGCGGTGGGTTCCCGTTTTCCCACCTATGGGTTCCCCCTACCCTCGTCGAGCTCCTACCCCCTACCCCCGTGGGGACACCATCATGGTGGAGTGGGGTGCAATCCTGGGCCACTTCGACGACTATCCTCCCTGCTCCCGGATCCCTTTGAGGTGGGGGAGGGGGTGAAGTGGGGGATCCCTCACCCCCACCCCCACATACCAACACATGGTCAAGAAGTCTGAAGCTAAGACTTCGACGGCAGAGATGGCAAGGCGATGGCTCGAGCTTTAACTTCACCACTTTCGTGAATAAGCTCTTTACTGGTATACAGAATGAACCGTTTCAGGAACGAGATGAATAAGGGTGGTGGGGAAAAGTGCTAGTTGAAGTACCAGTACTGTATCTTTAGAGTAAATAGAAGGCTGATGCGCCGCCGAGGCCAACCTTGATCTTCACGTATTTGTTATGATATATGGTAGCAGTCGACACACAGAGAGCTATGTACCTATGGTGTAGATTCTGTTTTAAGATGTTTATTCGTCTTTCGGGACATGTCGGGCATGTTGATTCACATAGCAATTGTACATGAGTTTTTTTACTCACATGTAGGTTATATTGCACACTACTAAATTAATGTAGAATAAAATCAAAGTTTTTTTTGTCGTTTAACGCGTAATATTCGATTCACGATTAAAGCAGAAAAAACACATGGAAATTGAATTTTTACATGAACTATTGTACAATGCGACATTGTATCTTCAAATTTTGTTTTTTACACATATAACATATAAACGTATATGTGATATTGATTTGCAATTTGTTTTTCGTATTTAGCAACATGATCGTGTATAAACACCATGAACTTACTTTACTTCGGAACATGTTCACTGAAGATAGATTAAAGGATTAGAAATTATCTGTGAATTCTATGAAACACGGAATCTATATTGAAACTGTTCGAAGTTAAGAAGGTCGATGCACTTCGATAGCAGCACTCATGCGTCAAAGTGAGTGCAATTGTGTAATATGTATGTACATGTGTCTATCTACTATCATACATGTGTCTATCACTATTCAATACCCTACTTTTATTTTTTGTTTTTTCATGAAAATCGCAAACATAATCTGTTTGAGATGAAATTTGATAATTTTAACAGAATTCTGTGTTTGGAAATTAACTGACACGTGAAAAATACATAAAATAAAACTTAGTCTATAATAATTATTATTATTTTATATTATTATTTGCTTTTCAATTTACTCATTAAAGGTGACAATTTTTTTATGTCCAAATAGCAATATATTTATTTTTAAACGTTTTTTTGAGTTTCTAAATAATTATTGCCTGTTAATGAAAAAAAATTCTACATATATTGGAACGCATTTTAACGGATCTTTCTTTTTCTTTGATTTTCAGATTTAATTATCGTGGAAAATGAATTTCACGCCTTTTCCCGGGTTCACGACAGGCTCGCTACCGACGGGCACGGTTCATCAGTTTGCAACCGCTAAGTTTGCCCAAAACCTGCCGACTGGAGGTCAAGTAGTTGGCGTTTTATCTGGAGGCGAAGGCGGTGTTCATTATCTGAGGCCGGTCGATCCGAACGGTTTCTCCGTAGCTCAGGGGGGTAATAATCAGCAACAGCAGATCATCACATTGCCCATCACTGTACCTGGAAAAGATGGCACGCAGCAGCAACAAACCGTCCAAATCCAGGTGGTCAATCCCAGTGTATCGCAGAGCGGGAACAGCGGTGATCAACCAAAATATCATTTGGCTCCAATTTCGTTGGGACAATTCCCCCAAGGTGCAGCAACAGTCCTCACCGTTGCATATAGTCAGCAAGGCGCAGATGGAGTACAGATCCAAGTACAGCCACAAAACACTGTGGCAACAACGCAAACGTAAGACCCATTTTGCATAAATTACAATAAGCTTTTACATTCTGATTTATCCTGTTAATAAATTATTTTCTTTATTTTAGATCTGATCAGACGACTCAAAGTACATCCACGGCAGTTACTACTACATCCCAGCAAACTATACAGCAAACTGTGCAGCTTCCAGGCGCGCCCGAAGGTTTAACCGTGGTCGCACAGATCCCGCAAGATTTGATCTTACGCGAGGGTATGGACGAATCGAAAGAAGACGTAAAAGAAGGTACAACACCAGTTGCTCTCATAAAGAGGGGTAGCATTAAAAATCAGGGAAATCAAAGCGGAGAAGAATTTATTACTTCTATGCCCGCTAGTTGGCAAAGCCTTGCAACTCCAGGATCAACTGTCGCGGATTATTTGTCCAGGTTGCCTGCTAGTACCTTGCCTATTAGTTTACAACATTTCTTAAAATTTTCGGCAGAGACAATAAAGAGAGAAGCCACTATTGAATCGAGCCCTTTAGGTGTTGATGGTTTGGATGCATCTGGAACAGCATCAGGGGAACACGCGGTGCAAATTACTGTCGCTGGTGGAGAAACGTCAATCATTCCTGATGTTGTCGACGAGCAAGATCCTGGAGCTAAACCAAAAAGAAAAAAGAAATATAAGAAAAAACCTCCGAAACCAAAAAAGCCAAAACCAGGACAAGTAAGCATAGTTACTGCTCTTGATGGCACAACATTGTTTTGCTGTCCTCAATGCAACATGGCTTACCCTGAAAAAGAACTCCTGGAGCAGCATCTTATTGGGCACAAAATTGAAAGGAGGTTCATCTGTGACATTTGTGGTGCAGGTTTGAAACGTAAAGAACATTTAGAACGACATAAGTTGGGCCACAATCCAGACAGACCCTTTATCTGTTCAGTTTGCATGAAGGGTTTCAAACGAAAAGAACACTTGAACCTTCACTTTGTTATTCATTCTGGGCATAAGACAGAGGTTTGTACCGAATGTGGTAAAGCATTCTACCGCAAAGATCATTTGAGAAAACATGCGAGATCCCATTTGGCTAAGCGCATTAAGGAGGATCCGGGATTGATCACAACTGATGCTTCCCAAAATCCACAACAGCAGACAGATCAACAACAACAACAACAACAACAAGCAGAGCAATTGCAACAACAGGCAGACCAACTGCAGCAACAATCATCGGTATCCGAATTACAACAGATACAGATACAAGTAGGCCAAGGATCTCAGGCACAGATTCATCAGATAGCTGTTAGCGAACAGTCTACAGTTGTTCTTCCAACTGCAGCAGAAACTGGAGCAATGGCTATACTTCATCATCAACAACAGCAACAGCAACAACAACAACAGCAGCAGCAGCAACAACAACAACAGCAGCAGCAACAACAACAACAACAGCAACAGTCGCATTAGCAGCAGCATACCGCCCCGAATCAACCTGGGCGGTACTTTCGATTTAATCATCAACAGGCTAGAGGTCGTGCAAGGCAAAGTGTTCTTGCTGATTGAATTTTATAATCCCATAGTCAAATTGGTATCTTGTAAAGAAAAATTCGTTGATGGTGGTTATCGTTGCCTAGTAGTGGTGTTGCAAAAAAAGAAAAAAAAAAATGAGATCTTTCTGTATCTTCAAATAAAGATACTTTTACCGACGAGCCGTCGCATTTCAAAGTTTGTACACCATCAGCTTCTTAAGGAAGTCGTAGGCCAGATTAATGTACGATTATAATTATTCTGCAAAACGCACTGAGCTGACTGACGAACGATGTTCGTACATACGATGTTTCTTTTTTGCGTACACGTTATAGCGTACGTGTAAGAAAAGACGAGTTTATATACTCGTTTAATTCAAAATGTTTTTGTCGCTAATCCAGTTCCATGACGCAAGTTAGAAATAAATAAAGAAGTTTATATATACGTACATATATATATATATATATATAAATATAAAAATATATTTTTGAAAGCGCGAACTGGATTCGCCAGACAGAAGGCAATCGAGTTTTCGGCTGAAGTTAATTTTCTTCAATGAGGAATATAACAAGAAAAATACGTAATGTGAAAGGTAACAAGTAATTCACAAAGCAGGGCTGTAAATACAACCAGTTTACCGTGCACAAGAAGGAACAAGAATGTCGTGCAATTATGAAGCGAATCTATTTATTCCATTTGTTCTACACGATCGAGACACAGAAAGAGAATGTATTGTTAAACCATTAGATTTATATAACATTTGAATTAAATGATACGTTGTATGAGATAAGTGTAAAATTCTATATTTATATCTACATGTGGATTAGTTAATGTTTACTCGCACAGAAGGCAAATGTTTAATTACTTTCACCGGCTACATTCAATTTGAAAGAAAGACTTATATTTCTGAAAGTGAAAAAATAATTTGGATTTCAATGAATCGTTACATTACCATATACAATATTCACTTTCAGATTGTCACAAGTTTAGAGCCTTGTTGGGACAACCTAAGAGTAGAGCATATCAAATTTGATAACTGTTACATCTCCTTGGTTCGTTTGACTTTTTATACATTGGAAACAAAAGTCAAATACAGGAGACTGAGTGAGGGACAGAAAGAACTGGTAAGAATAACTTTGTGATAGCCTCACAGGGAATATTGTATATCAATTTGCATATCGTACAGTTAAAGTTATCATGGTATACGATTGATGATTAAATGTATGCATTTAAATTTCGGTGTTTAGCGGAAAAGTAGCATTTCTACAGCCAACTATTACTTTTATTATATAATTATAATAATTTAGCGTAACTTATTTTGTATAGTATTTAACTTGTTTTATCCACTAAATGGATCATATTTGTGAAGCAACTTTGCAATCTTTTTCTTTGTGTTGATCGTAATTGAAAAAAATTATTTGTATTAACATAATTTGCACGACAAAAGTACAGCAAAATAGTTGTTGGGCGCGAACCATCTGATTTATTGATCAATCATAATACACTCGAAATCATTTGAGCAAAAGATGTATGTATACAAAAAGAATACTTTTTATTGTAAGTATCATTATTAAAGGCAGTGGGTATAGCTGTGCAAGAAATATAATTATTATTTTATTATCATATTATTATAGCTATTATTATCATAATCAGTATGGATAGTCTATAAGTCATTTTCATTGTTACTTACATAAATATTGGAGAAAAAGCTAAAATAAAACATACATTTAATATAAACAAATTTGTATTAATTAACCAATTACAAATATTATTTGTTTGTATTATACGTTTACATATTTTTAATTTGTATAATTACTACTAATCGTGGAATGTTGTTAACGACTAAAATATACTTACACATTTTAAACAAATTACCTATTAACTGTTAATATATTCAAGGGAGAAACTAATCGATGTTTCGACTCTGTAATTTGTATACTCGTATAGGCATAATTCAATTACCGGGTAAGAACGCTATACTACACTTTTCTCACATAGTGATACATTAAATCTTAATTTTATTAATAAAACCTTCCATATCAATAAAATTATTCGCAACATTTCGTATTTTTCGTTACAATGATTCTCGCGTGTTCGACTGAAATTTTTTGTAAATTAGATCGTAATGTCATATTTCATTAAAATTATTGTAAATTAATAATCGATATTAATTGTCAATTACAAGAATATACGATTACGAGAGAATAACAATACATCGCTCGTTAAATTTTGCTCTGTATTTTTTTTTTATCCGATTTATGATATTTCTCAATTCCCTAAATATACATATACATATCTTCGATTTCCATCGGCCCGTGGGTACGTCGGGAGTGAAAATAATGGCAGGTTACCGGGAGCGATTCGAAGTTAAAACCCCGATGGTTCGGGCATTTTCGCCGGCGCGGCTGCGAGGAGGACCGGGAGAGAAAAAATAGTTAAGAGGCTGGCACAGTAGAGGGCGGACGGATGGGGTGGGGGCGCCGACTTGAGGGACAGGTGTCAACGGCACACACATAGAGCGGGGATCTTTTTTGGAGATTCTCAGCCTCATAAAATTCCTGACCAGGCGAGCACGGGCTGCTAAGTACTAAATGGTAAGCTGATTCTCTGGTGAATTTTAGGAATTAGTAAACTGACGGTCGTGATGTTTCATGTTCGGCACGGCCATTTTCTGCTGAATTTCGTGCGAATTCGGCCCCCGCGTATCGACTAGGTGCCGAGAGGGGAAAGTCTCGGGTCTCCCCTCGCACTTCATTCCACTGCGCGCACCGTACCCATCCCTCTGACCAGACAATCCCCCCTGCGTCCTCCACCCGTTCTCCTTCATTCTTCCCGTGCTCTGATTCTCGTACTCCGCGCCACCGTCCCTCTACGACCACCCTTCCCCCGCATCGCAACGGTCTTGGTCGCGTATAATGTTCGTTTTTTAACGTCTCTTAACGTCTTTTTCCCGTGTTGTACCTCATTCTATAGCCGTACAAACTATTCGTGATTCTCGTTATACGAAGGCGGTTAATTGCTCAGTGATCCCTGTGAAGACTCGCATTTTGCAACAATCGAGCGATTTAAGAGCCGAAAAAGCCACTGTTTCCCGTTGTGTACCTTCATCGTGACAGACGGCTGACGCAGCGGCAGCAGTGGCGGCGTGGTGTTCGTGCTTCTCTTGTGCTGCAAAAATCTGCCCCTACGCTCGCTCTCACCTCTCGGAGACCCCCCTCCGAGGAAAGGATTCAATTCCACGGCGAAGAAACATGGGGAGAGGGACGTCGCTGTGAGTAAATACTCGGGCGTCGTTCGAGCTGGACGCGCCAGATATTTTCGCGCGGCGTTTCTTCTATATGCGAACGTCTTCTTCGTTGTTACTGCTGATGTCACCAAGAATGTACCCCCTCATCCTCGTTCTCTTCCTTTGGACAATGGCACGATCTTTGTCTAAGCGGTAGCAATGCACTTATCAAGCACATGTCACCGGCTGACATCTACAATTTGTACAACGTTTATTAGTGTATTAGTAATGACAGATCGTGCTTGCAAGTTACCGACAAAATGTTGAAGGATGTTGGTTGACAGACGAACTACCGCTTTCGAGACTATCCTGTAAACTTGCAGTGGATAAAGTGCTGTTGTGCGTAATTATTTCGTCTCTGATTTTCTTCGACTTTTCAGGTATTTGATTGACGGTTTGCAATGAATTTTCCGCCGTTCGGAGGCCACTTTCCCGGTACTATTCCGAGTATCCACCAGTTCGCGACCGACAGTTCCGGCGGTGCGGGTGGACGCTACGCCAATCATTTTCCCAACCAGCCTCCAATTGGAGTGCCGGTTATGGGAAAGTACCGTCCTGAAAGCAACGGCGTGCAATCTGCTCAGTCACAAGTAATGATGAACAATAAAGCGAGCTACCCCAACAGCAATGTTCATCATTACCCTAACGTGCCATATTCTCAAGCTCAACCAGTTCAACAGCGGCCTGCAAATTCGCCTGGAATGCAAGAAAAGCGTTCGTATCATCAGGTATGTGGTTTATCGTGCGTAATAGCGTCACATTTAAAACATACATGGACTTTATAGTAACTGAAACTTTTCAGCAAGCAACCGAAACCATAAATCAACAAGATGTTTGCAATCTCCTACAGGATAAAGATAAAAGTAAGGACAAGAAGGCTGACGAACAACAGCGTAACGGAGAAAGCGCAACAAATGGTCAACAAGATTATACCATGCATCAACACCATCAGCAGCATGCTCATACTCAAACACCTGCAACCATGCCTGCTACATGGCAGTCTTTGGCTGCTCCTGGATCCACAGTAGCAGATTACCTCAGTCACTTACCAGCTAGTACTTTACCGCTAAGTTTGCATCATTTCTTAAAATATTCAGCAGAAAGTATAAAAAAAGAGTCAGAAATGGCACAAACAACTTCAGTAGCTGTAGCAACTACAACAACGCCTAATATAATGATGTCTCCGAATAACAAAAAGAAGAAAAAGAAGAAGCCTCCAAAGGAGAAGAAACCACGTCCAAAACCCGGTGAAATCCGTTTAACCACAGCATTAGATGGTTCTACATTGTATTGTTGTCCAGAGTGCCACATGGCATACCCTGAACGTGAATTATTGGAGCAACACTTACTAGGACATACCTTAGAACGTAGATTTGTTTGCGATATATGTGGTGCAGGTTTAAAAAGAAAAGATCATCTGACACGTCACAAGCAGAGTCATAATCCGGAACGGCCATATGTTTGTACTGTTTGCCTGAAAGCCTTCAAAAGAAAAGAACAGTTAACGCTACATTTTGTTATACATTCCGGTGAGAAACGACATGTATGCACAGAGTGTGGAAAGGGGTTCTATCGTAAAGATCATTTAAGAAAACATACCAGAAGTCACATTGCAAGGAGAGTAAAAGCTGAACTCAGTCAGAATGCTGGTAAGATTTAAAAAACATTTACTGTTTGTTTCAGCATACATTTATAATTATTTGAGAAAGAAACAAATTTTTGTTATTAAAGTAATGTAATATTTCTATTTGCTAGGTACACAGCAGAATCAGCAACAAAATAATGTCTCGAATATGCAGACCACAGCTGTTACAGCATCGTCTGTTCTATCTGGTGGACATCCAGGTCCTCTCCTGTCCTGAGCCCCGCCACCAGGGAACTTTCAAGTTCCCCATCCAAACAATATTCTTCATACGCATACTTCTCATCATTCGCTGCATCATCATCATTTGACAGCTGTCAATGTGGCACATCAATCAAGTGTCACGCCACTCGCTACGTCCAGTCATTATCAAACGCACGAGCTCAGTTTTTTGGGTCACGTTAAAGATTTCTGAGATCAGGGGAAGACCTCGGTCAAGAGGTAACACTGAAAAAATTATATGAGCGCTATTAGCAGTAAGTTCTCGATTGCTTTTCATAATTAGGGCTTTAGTGAGTTTTCTACAAGCATGATAATTATCCATGATGCTGCTGGCTCTCTATGCCCTAGTACAATAGTGCAAATGCTGTGACGTTTACATAAGTTTTTCGACTGTATGCACAGTTTTATTACCTGTATTTCGGGTATTATTTTGACATATGTACATGTAGATTTTATCTCCAAAAGTGTGCCATATATCTATGTACATGATCAAAAATAGAAACAAAAAGGCATAGAGAGTGTTTTCATGCGCACGTGGAAGAAAACTATAATTTTGTGTAGAGAGAATTAGAATAAAGCCTGATACAAGAGTCTTGCCATACTGTACGTATGAGGAACAAAACATATTTTTATGAAGGCTTGGTGTTAAACACAAAGAAGTTAACTAAGCTATTCAAATTTATTGATAAAAGAAAGATCATGAACAATTACATTTTTGTTTGCATTGCGATGAATCATTAGGCTTTGTTCAGGTTTCTATAAGTTTATTTTTTTATTGTTTATTTTAAAGTTGTCGTATACAAATAACATTATAAAATTTACGAAATATGCGAAAGGAGACCTGTATATAAGGATGCGAACGAGCCATCCCACCGATTAATATGTAATGTTTTTCAATTCTTACTAATTTGATCGTGTTTTTGAAATATGAATTACGCGTTTGCTTAGAAAAATCAAATTATAATCATACTTTCAAAATCAAATTGTTTAATGTTTCAGCAAATTATTGGAAAGTAGTAGCTGAAAGTGTGGCAATATTTTAGTTGGTAATAAAAAGTTATTTTGCTTCCTTCAATTGCGTTTCATTTGTATTATACGAAGTTGACAGTATTTTATGTTTTACAATATAGTTCCAAATTTTTGCTTGTATGTATACATTACATATACATACATATATAAGTGCGTATATATATTTATATACACATATATATTGTATATATATATATTTTTACGATTTTACAAAAATCGTACAAAATCATTTACAACATAAGATCATTACGAGTCTACATCGTTTTTATATCGTTTTTACATTGTTTTTTTTATACATATTTTTCGTTAAATCTTTTTAACCTTCGTTGAGCATTGATTACATTAATAAGGTTTTTCGTTAGAGTGCAAAACGTACTTTTGATTTTTGTCTTGTTTATTTTGTTCTATTATACGTACATACATGTACGGTAACGTTCAAGCAATCGCCACTAAATAACTATTTAATTTGTATTCTTTGTATTTATCCGCACTGTGAGTGTTATCCTCGCGGACTGTGATCGTTTCGGACAAATGACACGTGTACCGATTGTCTAACTTGTCTGATTCTATTTCCCTCCATTTTTTTTTTTCTTTTTTTTTTTTTTTCTTTTTTAATCATGTACTTGTTCGTTTAGTATTATTCATCGTGCCATTTCTTTTCAAACTCCTTTCGCCGATACCGTTTCTTGCCATAAGCGACATAAACATTCAACTTACAATGACCGTCGACGCCATTTTTATTATTTGTCGTACGCAACAACGTTGATTATATGTTCACGTGATATAAAGTAAAAAAAAAAATAAAGAAAGCAAAACGTATAAACGTAGTTAGGAATGTGATGCGCCAATACTAGAAAGGGAGCGAGAAAGAGATGAAAAAGGAGAAATGGAATCCTTCATATTCGTTGGGAGAACGACGCGTTACAGAGATCCATCGCTATTTATTACACAAATAGATGAAGTATTTTATAAAGAAAAAAATAACTTAGGGAATATATACAAATCTATTGTCAATATATTTTTAATTACCTCTTAAACCGTGAATGTTTATATACACGTGTATTTTAGTTTTATTTTTATGAAACTCATACCTTCAGTTGTTTGCCCAACCTTTTAAATCAGTTTCAAGCTAGTCTTCTTCCAATCGATCCCCATTAATTCTTTCGCATCATGTTTCTAGCGTCATACGTTCTAGCAAGTAATATGAAAAATTCAGGATTCGCCAGACCTCAAGTATAAGGATGTACTAAAAATATATTATATATATATACATAAAAATATATATATATATATATATACATATATATATATATATACATATATATATATATAAAAGAATGAGCTGTATTATTATAAAAATACTCCATCGCCATGTACTTGTAACCATAAAAAAAAAAAGAAAAACAGAGTACACCTTAGGTTATACGTTTAGCGAGTAAGTTTGTATACAAGAAAAAGAAAAAAATTACTACAACGTAAGTTGAAAGCGAAGAAAGCATAAAAAAGTGTGTGCCATATCGAGAAGAATGTACTATGCGTGCGCGCATGCGCGTGTGTGTGTATGTAGCGTGTATATGCGTGCGTATATAATGCAAGCGAAAGAGAGAGAGAGAGAGAGAGAGAGCCTGTGAGAGATTACAAAAAAAAAGAGAGAGTTTGAGACCGTTTGAGAAAAATATCAAATTTTTCGAAACATGGAAACGGACTACGCGATGAGATAATGACAAATAGCTTTACGATTTATAAAAAAAAAAAGAGAAAAAAAAGAATGGAAAGAGAGAGAGAGAGAAAGAGCGAGATTTTTCAAAGTTCGGCGTACGATTTTTTGAGTGATTAAACAAATGAGAGGCTCAAGAAGCGGTCTATTTTGAAGGTTAGCGAAGAGAACCTGATGATATTTCCACACTCGACGAGGCGGCCAGTTTGCAACGCTCCTTCGGTATTTCGAAACCGGCCGGTTTGTCGAGGCGTAGGCGTAATTGGTGTTCCTAGAGAATAAAACGGGGGAGGAATAATAATTAACGCGTCTCTAAAGAAGGAAGAAAACAATTTTCCGGTGCCTTTGCATAGCGCTGGACTGTTTCCGCACCTGCATACTTCTCCACCTAAGTCGAGTCTAAAGATATGGCCTCGTGCGTAGCTCTTTTTTCCGGGACACCCTGTATGCTCCTTTCCTCTTTCGTCTCCCGTTCGAGACTTTTTTGTCATTTTTTCACCACCCTGCTCTTTTTGCGCCGCGAACAAGTTAAAGGATGAAACAAAAAGAGGTTTAACGGGCGATGGAGAGAGGAATAAAATGAAATATTTTTTAATAATGAGAAAATTATTGAAAAAATGGGAGAAAGATGTATGTTTTTAAGGCTCGAAACGTTTTGCTGGCAAATAGAGTATCAGTGAACAACAAACAAATAAGTATTTGTGTAAAATTTTTAATTAAAGCTGAATAATCTTTGCGGTTTGGTTTTAAAATTGTATACTTCGTTCCTTGGATTTTCGATTAATTGTTATTTATTGTTCAACGAAATATGACGTTCGTAAGATAATTGTTACCGTAAAAGAAATGGAAATTTACCTTTCGCGGAGAAAATTCAAAATTTCATTTTCGTTGCTGTGCACACGTGTTCCGTATTTATTCCTTTTGCATACAATTTTTATGGGTTTAATAGGTAGTTTTTTTTTTTCAATATTATCGGTTAAGAGAATCGGAGTTAATCTGAGAATACGATAGCATGGAAAATACTAATTCGCTAAATTTATAGTTGAAACATTCAGTTTCCATCCTACTTTTAATATTAGTCAGGAAACTTCTCTGTTTGTAATTGATAGTACCAACTAATTAAATTATAAGTATCGCGTTTTATAGAGCGTAAGTAGTAGTACTAAGGGATAGGCCTTTATTGCCTAAGTTGCACGAGCTAAGAGAATGAGAGACGAAATTCCGTGCGAACGAACGAGAGCGAAAGAAATAATATGATTGAATTCGCGTACATCTCGTTTTACAGTTTATCTCGAAACTGCGAACAAGGAAAATCATAAATCAAAAAGAAACAAAAACTTCCAAGAATTTTTGCGATTTCATTTTTGTTTTCATCGTACGATCTGCAGTCGTGATCATTTAATCCTCTATGGACTATTGCCGGAAGTATAATATACATTTACATAGGTTTTAAGGTTAAGTACAATTAACCGTTCGAATAGTTCGATAAACTCACGACGCCGTAGAAAGGGGGAAAAAATTCTAAGAAACACTTATGTATTTCTTTCCTTTGATAATATTTTAGAACGTAGAGGATTGATTACACGAGACATCGTTTTTTATTATTATTATTATTATTATTATTATTATTATTACTGCTTTTTATAACATTTATATTATCATTTACAGCAATACAAATAGGTACTTAAACTATATTTCTGTAGTAAGTTCTAAAGCGATCATTGCTCGAAATACATTAACGTGTTCGCCGATACTTAACAGATTTGGTCGATTCTTTAAAATTGTTCTGTTTGTTACAAGTTTGTGACCACCGCCTTCTGCGCGTAACTTTGAACCGCACCACGGAAGATGTTGCGCCAAATTTCGAGCATTGATTTCGTTACTTAATGATAGTTATTGCGAAACCGACTCGATAAGCGATCAGACGTAAAAGTAATTGCACGAATAGGGGAAGGAAAGCTAAAAGAGTAAATACACTTTGTTGTAAATCAAACGCGATTTTCTGAGAGATACGAGGGCGACAATGAGAACCATATTTTTCTACGCAGTGTCGAAAAAATCTCTTTATCGTGCTGATCGATAGAGCCGAAGGCGGATACGATCAACGGTGTCGGTGATCGAAGTGCGAGTTCGCCTCACGCACGAGCTGCAAATTAAGGGGTTGGTTCATGCAAAAAGGGAAAAATAATAAAAAAAAAAAAAAAAGAGTACAATAACAAACTTCGGGACACGCGCTGATACGCGTGCAGAGAAGTCTCAACGTGCTTCTCTCTTTGTAAATAACGGACTGAGAAAAAAAGGATAGATTTAAGGTTAACACCAAGTAAAAATACACCGCGTAAGAACTTTTTACGAAGTTTCGGGCTAACATTAGGTTTCTCGCGGGGCGTATACTTTTTTATAGTGTTTCATGGAATAATCCTTTGTTTTAAGCTACCTTTAGACGTAAGTCGCAGCTATTACATACGCAATC